CCCCAACCCCCCCCCAACGCCCGCCGGTGACCGTTGGTCCGCGCGTCCCCGTGGCGCTTCTTCCCCTTCCCTCGGCCCGGAGCGGCTCCCGCCCCGTGAGGGCAACTTGGCCGCGCTGCTGCCGGGAGCATCGACATCGCGGGCGGCCGGCCCGCCGCTTCCCTGCTCTGTTAATTACGTGTTTGTTTTAATTGTAAGCCGCGCGCTCTTATTCTCCTTAGGTTAGTGGAAAGAAAAGGTTAGGAGCACTGCTGTCTCCCAAAGAACAAGGTCCTGTCACAGAAGTTAGGAAGAGTTTAAGGAGATAAGCCGGGTGACTTGTGCGGCACTAATGTTTGCGACGGTGTTTGTTGTATTTAAATGCCTATAAAACAGCAAATATAACTTTGAAGATCATGTTGATTTAAAAAAAGAGAAAAAAAAAAGGAAACATAGCGAAACTTTTGGTGCTCAGCGTGAATCTTGTTAGTGTTAAATTGAAGTATTGAGTAACTCTGACTTTTTGACTCTATTAACCAACTTTGCTTGTAAATTTCTTTTTTTTTTTTGCCTAAGCTATATGATCTTGATGCTATGCCAAATTTTCTATAGTAAGCATTATTTGTTACCGCTGCTAATGTAACAGAACTTGGAATCAGTTGTTTATACCTTTTTTTAAAAAAAATGGGAAAATGTCTTTAATATGAAGCAAAATCAGGATTATTTTTGCTAGTGGTAAAGTGATATGGAGTTAAGCAAGCAATCACGAAACAAACCCATTCTTTGCCAGATACTGATGCAGTTGGTTTGTTTTATATAGAAACACTGTACTTTTCTGTCATAATTAACTTGTTTAGGAACAAGGGGAAGAAAATGCTCCTCTGCCAGATGTGTGCTGAGCCAAAGTCCTGTGTAACAGTAATTATACGAGCAGCCGTACTTTGTTAGTGGAATTTCTGTGGCTCAGACTTAGCTTTACTGGTATATGGTGCATGGTTGCTAAGTTGATTTGCTGTGTTTTGTTTTGTTTTTGTTTGTTTGTTTTTCCAAAACAACTCTTTTTTGGAAAGTGACTTTTTCAGCTTATTAAAGAAGTAGTATGAGAAAATGCAGAGCATCCTATGGGAGTTCTATCCACTTCATCGGTTCTGTTCTTTTTTTTAAAAAAAAAAAAAATCTCCCTGTCACTAGCAGCAACTGTGCATGTCTCGCATTAAGTGTAGATAGGAGAAAATGTACACTGACAAGTGCTGAGTGTTATTTAAGGTAGGGGTCCACTTGGGACGCTCAGCTGCCCTTGTGCATCAGGTGTGCTGCTCTGGGGTGGTTGCAGGGGCTGTTTGGATCAGCCTGTAGCAAAGTCCAGGTTGGAATTAGGTGGTTTCTCAGGGTGCTGTGTGTAGTCTAGTTTTGCCCTGTGCCCTTTGGCCTGAGCTGCCTGGAAACCTGATCACTGACATCATCATCAGTGGATGTATCATCAGTATTCTTCTTTTAACTTACTAAAATGTACTTCAATATTCAATCTATTTCAATAATTCTGAATTAGTTTCCTTAAAAACATGGCACTTCAAACTGAGCCTAGTCCATAGTACCATCTTAATTCAAGTTAACATTGTTTGAAGATTATTTTAAAATTTACTTAAACTTGTTATGTTTATTTGAGAACGTGTCTGTAAATTTTATGCAACTCAAGGCAATCTGTATATTATTACTTTGACTTTTAGAAAAAACTTAGATCTTGGGCGTTCTCTTTAAAAACCAACCTTTCCTCTCATCCACTGGGCAGTAGACTGGTGATGTTGATTTGTGACTGAATGTTGTTTTTGGCATCAAATTTGGCAGTAATTGCTATTGGGAGGAAGCGTGTTATAGACACACGCATTACACGTGTGTATTCATTCTTATTTTTAATCTTACATTTCTTGTTATTCTGTAAAACTAAATATTTTATTAGATTGCTCTAAGTCCAGGTGTGCTGAAATTCTAACCTTCATTTGATTAACATTATTTAAGAAAAAAAAATGGTATTTTAAGTGTGCGATATACAGGAAAGAAAGCTTATACAATGTTTTTAATAATAACATCAATTTTAAAAGAGAGAATATTACTTGTAATTAGTGATCTAAATGAGAACAATTGTTTTTGTTCATATGCTAGGCATTCATTTAGTTCAGCATAAAATTAAAATATCTTTTCATTGTCCAGGAAAAGAGATTAGCATTGTCAAAAGTTGATTTATCACTTCAAATGTACTCGCTTCTACTACCTAGCCATAACTCATTCACCAATTTAGTAGCAGTATCTTTTTTTTCTGCAGCAAGTGTATGCTGGTTTGTTTAAAAATTGTTTGATTGCAAAATTATGTTAGTAGTTGTGCTAAACTTACTATATAAAATGGATTTTTAAAAAAAATCATATGATTACATTGTCTTTAAATATCAGTTGTTATGTTATGAGGATTTTGAGTTGTGGGCCTGGAGGAGGACTACAGAAAACTTTATTTTTGCTTGTGTGTTTTTCACCAGCATTGAATGGGCTGAGGTGGATAATATCATGCAGATTTCTGCTGAGCACTGTCAAACTTGAGGCCATTTGTGCTGAGCATGGTGAGACTGGAGAGGGAAGTTAAAATGCTGGTCCCTGCGCATGCGGCTGCTCAGCCGATGCTGTTCCTAGTAAGGAAACCTGGGAGCAGGACCGGCTGCAGAGACGGGCAGCCATCACTGCCGGATCCCTGGGCCCGAGGATCGCAGCCTGTCCTGGAGCTGCCGTGTCCAGGAGTTCCAAGAAGGCCACGTGGAGCTGGCAGTGGCTGCTGGGGGTCCTTCCTGCAGGAAGGAATGGGGCTGAATGTAGCTGGGGCCTCTGTTGGGGCAGGTGCTTGGAGTCAACACTAGCTGTGTGGCAGAGCTGCTCTTGGGCTCCTTGCCCCCCCGTGTAGCTTGACCCATGAATTTGTCATGAACAGTCACATTACATCAGAAGGCCTCAAAAGCCCTATCTGGTGTGTGGTTGTGCTGTGCCTTCTGTGGCATCAGCTGATGGGCATGGCACGAGGGCCAAACTGATGAGTTTGCAAACTTCTGCGTTTGCAGACACGCGGTGCTAAGCAGCTTAGTGAGGTGTTAGGTACCACCACTGCTGCAGTTGCTTTGGGGCTGTATACACAGAAATAGCATGTGAAGTGTAGCCACCGCTTGCTGCCCGTCTACAGCATCACAACCTTTGGGAGGGATCCAGAGTACTCCGCGAATCTGTTACTGCACTACAGCAAGTGCCTGGGAAGTCTCACTCTGTAATGGATTAGCTCTTAGTATTTTTAAATTAATGCCCAGGTGCAATGACTGGTGGATGTTCTTCCCCTTTTCTCTTGCTGTATGGATTGTCTGATATCAGTGGTGTGTTATTATGTGTAAAATGAACATATTCATGCCAGCTGTGGCAATTAATTAATTTTCTTATCTCAGTTACTTTTTCCACTTTCCAAAAAAAAATCAATTTTGCCATATTTTTAAAAAGCCTGTACCTTTAAAGCAACTGTCAAACATCATGCTTTTCCTGTATAAATGTGAGAAAGCTTCAAGCAATAAAATCTTATGGTCCTCATGTGCTTCCTAGCTGTGCCAGGATATAGATTTACCTATCAAGGTAGTCCTCAATAGTGGTCTTTTCCCAGGCAAAATATGATATTATGTAAATATCCTTACAAAGCAGAAGTGCCTTGTATATTCAGTTAGAAACAGATTTTTTCTTTTGGGAAAATCCCATTTGGTGATATCGGCTACCATATGCCATTTTCTTGTGAGTTATTTACATCTGCTGCAAATTAGTCATTTTTGTCATGATAGGTCTGGAATTAAAAATATTTTTTTCCACGCATTTATAGGAAGCACAAAAAAGAAGAGGGATAACTGTTACATGCTGAAGTTGCCAAAGTAGTTTAGAAGTTAAAGCTTTTGACCCTTAAAATCCTGTTCAGAGAACCCTCCTCAGTATTTTTCTGACCTTTCTTCGGGAGGAGTGTGGGTGTAAGCTTTTTTGGAACGAGATGTTTCAGGAAGTGACATTTTGTAGCAGGAATAAAAGTTGAGTCTTGGTGGCTTGGAAGAAAACCAAAAGTCTAGCATGTTTGAAAACTGTGTAAACTACTAGGAGCACTAAACAGAGCATCACAGTATAACAGAGTGAGGACGGTAACTTGCATGAAAGCAGAGTTAACAGGCAGGCTACCCAAGCAAACTAAGCATGATGTGAACTTCTGAAAAGTAGTTTTGACTGCTGGCAAGACGAATAGAACAGATGAGTTTGTCTTTTTTTTTTTTTTTTTGGTACAACAGTAGTAAAATATTTTTAAAGAATGAAGTTCATGGTGAAAGATAAATTATGGAAATTTGTTGGAGCCCATTCTTCTTGGGAGATCACCTGAAGCTCAGTCTTTGTGCATGGTCATAGGATTAAAGATAAAGAAATTTTGTAATTCATTGTTAATCTTTACTGTTTCCTAGTGCCCAAGATGTATGCAGTGTGACACAAAATTTGACTTCATAACCAGAAAGGTAAGAGAAATCAATAAAACATAAAACTTTAACTCTTGCAGCAAATTAATTCAAGCTTTTCCTGTTTTAAAAATGAAGAAGCCTGGTATAACTTAAAATAGTTCTTTTTGTTCTTTCTTTACTGGGTGGAGATCCCTTTTGTTTTAATTCTGTTCCTTTGACCTTCTTGTGGTTTTGGTCGGGGCAAGGGTTATTCCATACCCATGGAATATACTGGATACCCCTGTGTTTTACTTTCAAAGGAAGAGTTAGAAGAACTCATGCCAGAGTGTTCTGCCAAAGTCAACACTAACATGCAGCCAAATCACTTTGATTTGTGTTTTGGGAGATAAAAATGAGTTGCACAAAGGTAAGCCAAAAGATATTTTGAATTGCAACCAGTTCTGTTCCCACATTGAAGAATCTCACCATCGAAGTGTGAGAGACCAAAATAAAATCTCAGAATCTCTTGTTTTGAAAATGAAACAGGACCTGTCTCAAAACTGGAAAAGAGAATCCGTAGTTAATTTGGGAAACATCTTGACTGTTCTGAAGCATAATTAGATACACTGTATAAAGCGAAAACATTAACACTGAAGTATTTTCATTCATAAATGTAAACAGATCTGTTGGAATGCATGCTGGTTTACTGAATACTATTACCAGAAAGCATTCTGCTGAAACTGGAGTTTCTGCTTGGGGGAGGAAAGCAGCCTCTCAAAACAGGTCAGCAGTGATTTTTAGCAGGAAATAATGGTGCTTTGTGTAACTGTGTTGACACTCTGCTGGCAAGCAGCTTGTGAAAGCAAGGAAAGGTGTGGAAATAGGAACTGTAATGCATTGAGGTAGTTGATGTTTGTTTTTGAACTTATGTTTGGAGGGAGAGGTAAGGAGAAATCCTAAAATGGATATTCCTGTGTATCATAAATAAATTTTCAAGATGCTTAAAGAACATTGGGGTGTCTGGGCAACTGAATGATGGAGTGTGCAGCCTCTTGGTCCTTGCTGCACTCTGTGGTTGGATGGGTTAAGAGCATGGAAGTTGTTTTTTTAGAGCATTTGGGTTGAACAGAAAAAAATGATCATTCTGCTCTATTTTATTAGCGTTATATTAACTTTGGAAAATAAATAGAGGTAGCCATAGGAAATAGATATGGGAGAAAAGTTTATATTATATTAGGTAGAAAAGTCTAACCGGGACCAAAACTGCAGCATATCAGTTGCTTGTATTGTTCTAACTTGCTCTGAGCCACAAATCACTTCTTGCTTGCCTGGAAATACTTGTTCTTACATGAGTTACTGTCATCCCCTGAGAACTTGCATCAAGAAGAGCCACTGTGACTGTCACACCCCACTAGTGATTTGAAGCACAAACACTTGGTGAACACTTAGCTGTGAGCCTGATTTTACCAGTGTTATAACTACCCTGGATCCTTTTTTTTCCTCTTTTTTTACTATGTCATTTTTGATAGGTTTTGAGTATGAAGATTTGGGTTTTGGTTTGTAGCCTGTTACCTAGGGAAAAATAGGCATAACAATAAACCTGTTGACAGAGTGTCAGGAAATATTTATGTGCTGCTGGTCATAGTAAACTTAATCCTTTGATCTCAATCATAGAGATATATTTCTACCATTAACAGTTGTTAATCTTCCATAATCACTTGAATTCTGTCCTACCCCTTGACTTATTTTTCAAATTAGAAAAACTGTATTCTTTTTCTTGGATGAGAAGGCGTTTGGTGGAGTAATTTTATTAGGTTCTTCCTTAATAGTATTCCATGTGAATAAATAAAATATTGTCTCAGCATCACTGTCGAAGATGCGGAAAGTGCTTCTGTGACAAGTGCTGCAGTAAAAAAGTGCCTCTGCCTCGGATGTGCTTCGTGGACCCGGTGCGCCAGTGTGCTGAATGTGCCCTCATCTCTCAGAAGGAAACAGAGTTTTATGACAAACAGCTTAAAGTGCTCATGAACGGTAAGTAACACACTGTGTTGTGTGTGTGTGGGCATACATGTGTGTTTGTGTGTGTGTATATGTGTATGTATTTACATATAAAGTACACAATGTATATATGCTGGTTTGATTTTGCTTATATTTGTTCAAATGTCATGTTAAGCAACTCTGATAAATAGAAAACCTAGTAATTAAATGTAATTAAAGACAAAGGAAGTTTTTATTGCCTTGGTGAACAAATGTATATTTGAGCATTTACCTTTTTTAATATTAATGTATTTTTTAGACATATTTCTGTTAAATAGAATGAAAACGCTTATCAGCAGAGAATATTTTAACATTTTCTAACAAGTTACTGTGTTTGCTTCAGACTTCACTTGTGAGCTTTGACCTTGGCCGTGGCCTAAGGCTGTGTGAGTGGCAGATCATCGTGAACTGTCAAATTTAAATAACATTAAAACCACATGTAGTACACTAATTGATATTCCAATTATGCTGAGTAAAAACCTAGTGTTATTTGGTTCTTCTCGTAGACTGATCTGGAATACTGACACTATTGTTTCAGTAGCGTTAGAGTGTGTTATGGTGACATTGTAGGGTGTTTAATTGCCTATTTTTGCTCTCTTTCAATTCATTCTCATTCTATAGTTTCTATTTGCATATCATCTTTATTTCCACGGTGTGGGGGAGAAATGTTACATTGTGGAAGCTCATGTGATTTAGAACATGGTAATTAAAGATGAGCTTTTACATTTGAGTGCTCTAAAAATGTCAGTCAATTCAATGTTTCAATTAATCTCTTAATGATTCACCCAATTCAGTCTATTAGGTGCAATAGGTAAAATTGCTTATTACTCTTGATATTTTAGTATTGCTTCCTAAACTCGGTGTTAGAGTAATAATGCAGTTCTTTCCAGGTGCTACATTCTTCGTAACTCTGGGAACATCAGACAAATCTGAGCTAATGGTGTGTCGACTGTCCAGCAATCAGAGGTGAGCACATTAGTAGAAACTGTGCTTATAAACACAGCTATAACTATTTTTATCTAATAACCAAAACAAAAACAACAGAGTGTGACCTGCTGTGAAGATCCTGGAGAGAGTATTCTGTAAAGATAGCTCTATTTTTGTTGGGCTAATTGTGAATTTACTAGCAGTGGAGGTCAGGGACTCTCCGAGGTATGAACTCCCACTACTTTGTATTGTGAAGGCTACTTCCAGAAGCAGCAAGGGGCAGGAATGACAGAATGCCTTGGAACCCTGGAACTCTGCTCCTTGTTAAGGCATCTCGGTGCCGTTGGAGTATAGAGTGTTCACCAGCTAGTAGGAGGATTGCAGGAAGGTTGACTGGGAAAATATCTGTAACCCTTCAGAACAGCTTGTTTCAGCATGTTGACTCCAACACTGAGCATATTGCTTAACATTACAGACAAGCTTTACTGAGGGCACCCCGAGAATTTGGTGGGTGAGAATGCCTCAAACTCCGTGTTCTCTCCTTCTTCCAGAACTTTGGAAGGATGGCTTTAATAGTTTGAAAGGGTATATTAAGCTAGTCTATATGTTTTTGGATTTTGTGTGTGTGTGTTTTGGGGGCTTTTATTTAAGCTTTAAGCTTTATTTAAGCACATCAGTGAAAAAGACCTCCTGCTTGATTTTATTTCTTCTCCCTCCCCTCAGAAAACATACAGAAAACCAGTCACTGAGAGATTCTGTTTGAAATGCAGTGAACTCTGGAGTCTGATTATTCCATTTCATGCGATTCAGACTTGATGTTGTAGATGGGAAATACTAATTGTGTGTGTGTGTGTGTGTAGATACCTGGTTTTGGATGGAGACAGCCACTATGAAATTGAAATTATACAGATTTCGACTGTTCAGATACTTACGGAGGGATTTACTCCTGGAGGTAAGTAAATCACTGAATACAAATTTACTATTAAGAAAAATATGTAAATTTACTTTTTTTTTGTGCTAACTAGAGAGTGTGTTTCTATGTTTTTGGTGACTTAGGTGCAATGATCTTGGTACAACTGTTCTCAGTACTCTGGTGTAGTGCTTGGAAGCCCATCCGTGTGACCGGTGGTACTGCAGGGAAGAGCTAAGAGTTCAGAGATTGCTCTGAGCTCTAATATGGGGGAACTTCTCAACAGGCTTAAATAGTTCATCATCACCTTTTCTGAGCCTTTCTTTCGGCTGAAAACAAGCATTTACGTTTATCGATTGACAGGCTCAGGAGAACTGTTAGTCTTCAGCTTCCATGTTAGAATCCAATTGGGATTTACCTTTTATAGGTACAAATAATTGAAGAGAGTAAGAGCTGCTTAAAATTATACTGTAATTTCATTTAAAATGAAGGGGAATTGGAGGGCAGTTACTTACTGCTTCATCTACTATTCTGTAGTATTTCAGCAAGAACTTGAATATGATTTCACTGAACTGATAACAAACAAGGACATGAGTTTTAATAACTGTTCTTTAACAACAACTCTCACTGCTGGGTATATATTTTTTAAATTGAACAGTTCATCTGTGCAATATTCACTCAATGCAACCTGTTAACTTTAATGAACTGACTGAAGTATTCTAATCAACCAGATGTGCTGCCGAATTAATGGTCCTATAATTCCTTGTTCATTACTCTTCTGACTGCTTTCTTTTGCCTGCCTGACTTTCTTCTTGATGGTAGAAAAAGATATTCACACTTACACCAGCCTTCTGGAGAGCCAGCAGATTCCTGAAGGTATCGGCAGTGCCCTGTGAGCATGATGTGCCCCAGCATGGTGTCCCTCCCTCTCCCCTTCTTCCCTTGCAGTGCCCTTTCGTTTGCTTCATCTTCTGTTGATGCTCAGCCTAGGAAAGCTTGTTCAAATATTAGATGTGTAACTTGTACAGCTCTGGGTTCAAACTCTTTCTTTCCATCTCTCTCATTTAAGAAACTGAGAAGGAATGTTTTATAACTTACTGGAGAAGAACTAAACTATTCCAGACATCCTTTAAACCTGATGTTCTGTTGAGAATGAAGGAAAGACAAAACAGTGTTTTTGATGATACACCGTATTACACATCAAATACTTTAACAGACCTGTCCCTAATCTCGTCTCTATTTCTTGTAAGGAAGTAAATAAATAATAAAAGTTAAGCTGCCTTCTTGTGTGCTGTCCAGTAGTGCTTTGGACTGAATAAATCACTGTCTTAAAAAGATTTCTCTTCATAGTTTACTACAGGATTGCTTCAAACAGTGGAAAATATAGTGACAGGTAAAAGTAAAGAGGATGATATGATAAAATTTGAGTACCAATTATAAATTCTGTTTTAAACTGTTAATTGATAGGCTTTCTTTTACATTTCTTTTTTAAAAAATAGCCCTCTTGTTAAGCAAGGCATCTTCTGCCTGAATCAGTAAATGTCCTGGAATGCCAGACTCGTGCACTGTAAATGAACAACACGGAGCAGAGCTCTGGGTGTTTGACTGTCGCGGTTTATCTCGTGCTTTAAGTAAGGCTTTAACACGCTGGCCTAACCAGGTAGGTGCAGGGCAGCGAAGGCTGAAGGAGCTGGATTTTGGTTATCCTACAAGAGGAGAAAAGAGCTATTCTTATCGAGAGCTATTTTTATAAAAGGTGCTTGTGACCTTTATATGAGGAAACCTAGCCTAAGATTAGCTTTGTTTGGTTTCTTAGATATTGCAGTAATAGCTTCCAGGACCCCTTCTCATGTAGGCAGCCTTTATATAGCGAAAAGGGTTTCCTGTGTGTTGATGCTGTTCCCATTTATTAGTTTTAATTTATGCTCTAAGTAAGAGGCCCAGTGAATTTTTTTGTTTGTTTGCCTTTTAATGTGTTCCTTGTAGCTGTTTTTTTGTTTGTTTGTTGTTAATGTACAATTCTAAACCAAACTTTGGTTTTGTTTTTGTGGTTTTGCTTTGGTTCGATCTGAAAGCTGCATGCCACTAGAGTAGGAAAGATGCGCTGTTCCCTCCGCTGCCCACAGGTCAACTTGACAGGGGAATGTCTTTCCTTGTGCAGGAAATGAAGGCGTTGGCAGTTTGCTGGGGGGCTTCTTTCCCAACCTTTCCTAGAGTTGAGTGGAATTCTCACTATCCTCCCAGACTCCTTGTCAAGGAAGGATCCCTCCTTGGTGTCGGTCTGATTGGACACTGGCAGTCCACAGACTGCAGGCTACAGTGTGGAATTATAGCATCTCCTTAAGAGAAAACAGATTGTCATATTGACCTGCAAGTGTTTTCTCGGTGTGTGGCACGTCCCAAGCATTGCCTGTGACGACTTGTGCAAGTTTTGCCTGAGTGAGTGCCACATAGCATTAAACAATACTAAAGATCTGCATGTCCTGATTCCTGGTGTCACCGTGTTGTCACAGTGTTGTCACTGCCTCCTCCGCTGCTGCACTTGGGGCTTCCCGAGGGGTGTGGGAGCTCCAGGCTCTTGGGACAGTGACAGAATTGCTAGTGCTTTGAGCTAAGTGACAAGGTATCTTCTTTAAAGGTGCTTATTAGTTTGTATGATGGTGCTCAGCTGGTAAAGCATGCTGCTGGCTCAGGCCTTGCGTTCTCTTCCAGGAGGCAACAGCCGCGCCATAGGGATGGTGCTGCAGTACCGGGTGCCGGGCTCGCAGGAGCTCACGCAGATGAAGTTTACAGCTGGGGAGGACTTCAGCTGCAACAAGAAGCTGTCGGCAGCCTGGCTGGCTGCTATGCATAAGGTGAGCACGGGTGGCAGGGAAGAGCAGTAGAAACACTGCCTGAAACGGATCCTTTTTTTGAAGTTTAGGGCTGGGGACAAGGTTGGGCAGAGAAAAGGTAAAAAGCTTTTGTTTTTCCCCAGCTTTTGTTTTTCCCCAGACTTTTGTTTTTATTTGTCACCGCACCATCTTCATGCCTACCAAAGCCCTCTCCTGTGATGCTGAACACCTCTTGCTGGGGTTTCCAGAGGGGAGACTACGTGGCGTGCTCAGTAGCAGCAGTTAGAGCCTCTGGAGTCCTTTAAAGGACTCTTCAAAGGACTTGGTGCTGCTCAAGACTGAAGCTCTGGGTGCTTGCTATGGACGTGGCCTTAGCTTCAAGCACGAAGGGTTTATCCTGATAAAAAGAGCTTATCTATGTCATTAGGTGATAAGAACATTGGAATTTGACTTCTACATCTCTGTTACTCGTTGAATAATGCATGCTAAGGCATATTCTCTGGAACCACAATCAGATAACTGTATGTATTAGTTTATTGAACGTTTAATGAAATTGTTCATTTTTAAAACAGGAACAGAGGTGGGGACAGGACTCTAGAGGACTGAGTTTCATCTGTTTTTGTTGGGCACTGCATGATGAAACTGAAGTTTTATGTTTCATAATTCAAAGTTATGGGAGGAAAAAAATCTGGTCTGTAACCTCATCTGACAGGGAGAACTGTAGCTGCTGTCTGCACATGCACTTGTTTGGCTCCATTTGCTCCTTTCACCCATTGTTCTTAAGCTTCCCAAGCAATTTAGCTTCTGTATTTAGCAAAATATGTATTTGTGTTGTCACATGAATACGGTTTAGCATTTATATCTATTCTAATTCATCTTTCACAAGCAATGCAGCTCTTAAAATACTGTTCTTACTGTGTTTCTATTGATAAACGGGGAAGAAAAAAATTCATCTCCTCTGACATGAGCTTAGCTTGTTCTTAAGGAGAGACTGATGGGTACAGTGAGATCTTCAACAGCCCTAGTTAACAGCATGTTCTTATTTCAGAAACAGGGGATCTATTTTGTTATCCTGCCCAGCAAGGTGATTTTTATTACAACTTTCCCATGATGGTGCTTTCAAGTCAGTAAGGTCACCCCAGAACTGGCAGAGATCTTGAAAACATCCAAGCTCAGGTTCTTAAGAGCTAGGAATGAATGTGTAAATTTGCACAGCAGTAAATGACAATGCAGCTAAAACCTCGGGCTTGTTTTGAGTGTTGTTGTTGTTTTTTTTAACCAATTCCTTAATGTTTTAAGGAATGCCTGAGAATGAGATATAAAAAGATTTTGAGAGGGGTATATTAAATGGGTGTTAAAAACCCTGTTTCTTCCTAAAGCTTTATCTCTTTTTGAGGCCTTGCAAACACATATTTCCAGCTGTTGACAGTCCTACGGTATAGGCAGACTGTGGATGGATTAGCTCAGCGTGGAGGAAAGCCACCATTGACAACTGACAGTGACAGCTCCTCTGCAGCAGATGGTCCTGCTGCTCCTGTGTCATGTTAGATCCTACCAGAGCGTGTCCAAATTCCTTATAGACCTTGTAGGTAAATCCTTAAGCAAACAAAGAAAAGTCTTGACCTCTTCAGGCTGTTGAGAGGTGGCAATGGAAGTTGACAGTCTTTGAAGAGGAAAAAATAGATGAAGTTAGGTAAGCTGTTGAAGTAGAACCAATGGTTAAATACATGGAATGTATTGCTGGAGAGCGGTGTGGAAACAGAAGTGTCCCTGCCTGGTGTGTCGCTGAAGGTGCGAGTTGCAGGTCAGCTCTGGGCCTTCCCTGTCAGGAAGAGCTGCACAAACAGCCTCTTTAACCCCAGGCACCGGGCGCAGGCTCCGGCACCAGGATCACCAGAGGAGGCTGCTGGATATTGCAGTTGAGTTGACTGGAGCACCTCAAGGTGGAGGGCAGAAGGGGTAGAAGGAATGCCCAACATTGGGCAATCATTGTGTAATCAGATTGATCAAGGCTGGCTTGGAAAAGTTTGGAAACAGTGTTTCTGACATTTTGGTACACATGCACATTTCTGGCCTGGAGGGCAGAAACGTAAATCTCCTAAAACCTTCCTCAGCAACCTCAGGTTCTACATGCAAACAACCTTCAGTACCCACAAAAATTACTTTGCCTCACTGAATACTACTATGTGTCTTAAGCTAATGAAAGTAACATAGGAAGCACTGAAAGGTTTGGGGTTTAAAGGGTGTGGGAGTGGGTTTATTTTTTTTTGATGCACAGGAGAGATTAAGTGTCTGCAAATGAAGTTCCAGTTAACCCAATCGCTTTGTTTTTTTTCTATTAGGCAACAAAACTTCTTTACGAGTCACGGGACCAGTGAGAACAACAAACTGCTGCCAATTTGAGGGAAGATGCCACCTTCTAGGGACCTGCCTCTCACTTTTTGCTAATTTGACAGCTGGTAACATTTGCTATTCCTGATCCCTTCTCATTCCAGTGTGATTCATTATGTAAAACTGGAAAAATGCAATGGGTTTTTTTTTTTTTTTTTTTGAACCATGAGTATTCACTATAGTGTGCAATATGTATTCTACACTTAATGCTTTAAACAGCCTCACCTTTTAAGACTTTGTATATTTTGTTAAACCTTTATTGGCACTTAATATGAAATATGACCTGCACTACAGCTAATGTACAGCACAACTTTTATAGTAACAATTATGTATAGTTTGCCCCAAAAAGCAAACTAATGTGTATGTCTCTTCTGCAGAGAATAGCTTTTGGGTATAGATCTCAGGTTTTCCCCTTTATCCAAATGTTTTAAATCAATGTACAATAAATCTGCCTTAGGTAAATTTTATAGAAGTTCTTGTTTTTCTAAACATGTTTCACCAGGTACTGCGAAATCAGACTTTCATAAAAATGATCTTGAAAATTCCCTTCCGTAATAAGCTTCTGGAATAATGTTTAGTTTTGTATTTTCTTTTTGGTAACTAGTTTTTGTTAACCTAACTGTAATGCTATCTGGAATTGTATACATTTTAATGTACAAATAAAGAATAAATTAATTCAGTTATTTAAATAAGAGGTGATATTGCCTTGCTTTAGTGACAGGTACTGTACTCTGCTTTCTAAACTCTGAAACCCTTGCTGGCCTCTACAGCCACCACCCTGCGTTTAGTGCTGAGCCTAGGACCTGGCTCAGCACTGAGGCTGACTCCTGTGGCCCCACCAGCTGCAGCGCGTTGCCTCCTGCCCTCCCTCTTCCTGCAGCAGCAAAGCTGGAGTAAACAACCACCCAGGGTGCAGGTGAGAGCTTCCCACACAAGCACGAGTGGGCCAGGACTGGAACACTGGACTTGATTGTGGAAGGAGGTTCAGAAACAGGTTTGTAAATCCCTCTCTACTCCCACAAGGAGGAAGCTTGAACTGAAGAACAGAGGCTGGAGCTCGAGTCTCCTCGTGGAGACAAAGAGCGTGTCTGCAAAAACACTGGAGAAGGCGGCCGTGCCTTAGCAGTACTTTATTGTGCACATTTACATGTTCTCTGAATTAGTGTTATCATAGGCTCTTGAAATCATCACATTCATGTAGCAAATTCTTCAACAATAATACCCTTTCACTTCTCACCACAATATATACAGTTAATGCTAAACCTGTGGGAAAAGCAAGTTACAGCACTGCAGAAATGGATATATAAATAATACACAAACTTGTACATGAAGAATTAATCAAATTGCATACTGTTTAACAGGAGAAAATTACAAGAAATATGGCTACAACTTAGAATGGGAAATTCAAAATATACTTTTGGTATATAAAATCATGTACAATTAAAATTCCAGTGAAGTGCCTTTTCTTTTTTTTTCCTTTTTTTTTTTTTTTTTTTTTTTTGCTTATAACTACAATGTAGTGGAATAGTTTATTGCATAACTTGCCTCGGCAACAGATGTTAGCTGCCAAGAACCACAGAAACTGTCCTCAAATAAACTACTGCCTTTCTGAAATTCTTCTCCACCCCTTTTTTCTTTCCTCCCCTTGACTTGGCATTTCCACCCACCTCCTCCTACTTCTAGTCAGGCCTTCACACACGGCAGACACACGGTGCAACTGTTCCCAGCCTCTCACCCTCTCAACTATTGCACGTTCACCCCTGCAGACATGCACATCCCTCACGCCGCTGCACGTTTCCTATCACCTCTTTTGTCCGTAACAAACTCGGGGTTAGTAGGGCAACCTTTACATTAGTAGAGGTAACACTGGTGCTGTAAGTTGAATAACAAGAAAATAAAACACCAAGTGAATTATTGTGTAGGGAGTTTGAAAAGTGTACAAATACTGTTGCTTTGTTAGTTCTCTAGCTTGTCTCTAAATGCAAATAATATTAGATGCTAGACTATATAAAGCTTTTGTTGGGGTTGTCTAGACTAGGACTTAAGTGTATAGTATGTTAACACTTAAAATCCTAGCCCTCTTAAAGCTTTGATGAGTACTTATGCATGGAACAGGCGAAAATCTTGTGTCCTAGAACCCAAAAAATTAAGTGGTAACTAAGTGGTAATGAGAGAACTCAACGTTCACTGGTATGAAATAAAATATCTGGAGTTCTGACGTGGGACAGTTACTGTGGGAGTGGAGCAGACTGGAGAGCATCTCTGCACTTTGCAAATGACACCTCCGAACACTGAACACACGAAAGCTCCTGCCCCGGAGCTTAACTCCCTGGGGAGGGAAACTGCAGGTCCTGGAGCTGCTGCTCCCCCCTCAGGGCCAGCTTACATAAAATGATCCTCATTTACAAACTGCAGATCTTGCAAATCTTCAATGCTGTCAATTTAACAAGAGAAAGCACCGTTAAAACTAAATGCCAAAGTTTTATTTCTCCAGGTGAAATGACTGAAAATGATGGCTCCAGTGTATGTTTTAAGTTCCAGTTACCAGCAAGGTATTGCACTCTCGTACAACTGGATTCAAGCAAGGGTTCGTTGTCTAGGTTTTATTCGTGGATATAACTGTAAAAACAGAACAAAAAATATTAAGTTTTGTATGTTAGGTTAAATATAAATGAATTATAACCAAAACAGACCTGCTCCTGTGCACCAAGCACCTGCAAGACCGGCAAGTAGAAGCTGTGGGTCCGGAGCCTGGCTCATGTTTAGCGCGTGGCCCCAAACACAGAGCCAGGCGACGTTACCCCCTTTCCCACTTGGATTTTAGCAGCCTCTTTTCAGTCGCTGGCCCGTGCTGATGTCCCTTGGAGGGGACACTGCCCCTGGCAGCTGCACAGAGCTGCCCAAGGGACACCAGGCAGGCCACACGTTGGAGAAGTCTGCTCTTTACAAGGTGGCACCAGGCCTTTTATCTAAATAATGATGTGTTTTCAATGAAATAATTAGATCAAATTCAAATGAAGGAGTAGAAACAACATAAAAATTTCCCTGCTGTAGGATTCTGGGTGCTTGTAGCTACAGTCTGCCTTCTGGCCAGATCTCCAGATTGTGATTTTGGAACTCGGTAATGATCTACAACAGGTTTTGAGACCTTCTTAATGTAACTATCCTTCCCAGGCCAACCTTAGAAGGGCTTAGTAGAGCCACCATGCTTCATAAAGGGATCCTGTTTTTTTTAACCAGAAGAAAACCCTTAATAAAGATTAAAGCTGAAAATATATTAGGTAACTATACTAAACTTATCTCCCGAATAAAAAAAGCTGAGCTTATTGTTGTTTCCTTTCTGGTTACAAACAACAACCCTGAGGCCTGAAAGAACAAGGACAGGCTGCTGAGCACCATTTCATAGTGGTGCTTCAGGACGACTTGCGGATGGGTTCTCCTGTGGCCCTTACCTCAGGCAGAAGTAAAAAGCAGAAGGTAAGTTACAAAGGAAGCACTTACCCCCAGCAGGTTTTTGGGCACGTAGCCTTCTTTATCGTTGAGTCGCGCCCACCACCACTCGGTTTCGTTGTCGTCCTTGCGCCGCAGGATGGTGATGGCGTCACCCTCGTGGAAGGACAACTCGTCGTTGTTCTGGGCTTCGTAATCCCACAGCGCGTACACTACTCCCTTGTTCATGACGCCCAGCTTCTCCTGCACACCTGTCAGCAGAACGTTACAGCACACGCAAAGTGCTCAATAGCCTGTTTTTCCCTCTGGGATTTCTAGTGTGACCTGAATATCTTAGTCTCTTATTAATAAAATTCTATAAACAATTAGCAGCACTTCCACAAGGAAACACTTCCAGGAGCTGGACTGCATGGGAAAACCACATCTTGCAGAATACTTGACTTGCAACATGAGTTTTTTTCCTTTTCTCATATATGCAGTGGAAACTTTGGGACCTTAGGACTATTTTGTCCTTATTTGCATAATACATGTGTGAGCAAAGCAGCTCTTTGGAGCTGTTTCTGTTTCTCACAGGCCTGCTGGCAAGAGCAGGCACCTTCTACAGCAACACCTGGAGCTTCTGAAATCTGCACGACGTCCTGTGCATGAAGGCTTAACGAAGCTTCCAGCCTTCTCTCATGCAAACTGAACTGTCAGCTGCATCTAAGCCATCTTTCTTGCCAAATCCAAATGAATCAAAAAAATTCTAACATTAGAAAGAGCCTGGGAAGTCAAAGAAGGGAAAGAATATGAGCAACATAATAACCAAAAGGCTGTTGTGTTATTAGCATTTTCAAAGTACAGGTAAAGGGCAGTATCTTCAAGTCTAGGGCTGAAGTAGAAGATAATAAAACGTCTCATGCAGAACAGCTGGACAGCTGCTCTTGGATAGAGAAGGGCTGTATTTTAGAAAAGCCAAAAAGGGCTGCAAGATGCACCACAACCTACCATATAAGAACTGGGAACACTGAATATAACCTTCTTCCATCTCTTCACACTTGTCTGCAGCAGTTTCTATGTCACTTATAGTTGAAGCAAAAATTGCTGCCCCAGATTCAACAAGTAGTTTGCAGAGGTGAACACTATTGCAGGAAGCAGCACAATGCAAAGGTGTCCTGAAGGAAAGCAAAAATGTAGACATTAGAAAAAATGTTCCAGGAACCTCAACCATTTTGTCTTGCAACATCAAGTTATGTCTGTATTAATATTTAATATTTTTTTTAAAAGGAAATTGTCTTCTTAATGGTTATAGTATATTCCATGTGCAAAACCTGTCAGACAGCCTGGCGTGGATTCCTGACTCCGTTAAAGCCAAGCATTATACAGCAGATGTAATCAACAACGTAAATTCTTGTATCTTGCAAACCTGCTGGATACAAAAGGGCATTTCCTAAGACGAGGAAATCTGAAAGGTAAAACAAGCTGAAGCTTTGCAGTCTTAAGCTTTCAGATCCTGTCCAAAGTCTGCAGATGGATTATCTGAAGATGACATTTCTTAAACAAATGAGCTTCAGTCACTTGATATTTATATACTTTAATATTTTTGCATGTGAACAAGAAATTCAGCTATACTATTAAATAAAAGCAAAATATGGTATAATTTATGACTTTAGTGTACTTTCATATGAGTTCAATATGATGCAACTACTTGCATTTGAGTTTGTCACCATCTAGACATTAGAAAGTGCTTATTTGCCGTGGGTAAAAGGGAATAAAACTGTTCCCCCAAAGCAGGTTTCCACTAAATTTGGGGGTTGAATTTGTGTTTTTTTCAGATGCTAGGTTAAAAATGCTGACACTTACCACCCATCACTGTCTGCTGCATTTACATTCACACCAAAATCAAGCAGGAACTTCACAATGTGGTGATGACCAGCACACACTGCATTATGCAAAGGTGTAATTCCTTCATCATTTGGTTTACTGGGATCATCAACCTATTAAAAAAAGAAAAACATGACAGTTGGTTTTTTATTATTATTATTATTATTATTATTATTATTATTATTATTATTTGAAGTGTTGAAAGAGGTTTCATGGGTAGAGGCTCACCTCATATATGATTCTTTGCACCAGATCAAATTCTCCCTCCAAAGATGCATCCAGGAGGAGGGCTAACGGGTTGAACTTCACCCTCAAGCCATGGCCTGTTCTTTCCGAGTTCGGTTTCTTCAGGTTGGTTCTTTTGGTCTGAGCAGAGATGGAAGTTGGAAGGCATCATTTCAGGGTGCATGCGTATTACAAACTATTCCGTTACTTTCTAACCAGACAAAAAAATCCATGCTCCTTCAGTGTTAATTAAAAGTACGTAAACATTCTCATAATAAAAGTCTACCGCAAGCCTTGATACCTTAATATATATTAATCAGCTGAAAAATAAAAATGCATGCCACAATAATCTAGGGAGCTTTACTTAAATGCAGTTATTACAAGGAACAAAGTACTTAATCCAAAGATTCTGACCACCACAACCTTAGAATTGTATTTCATATGAGCCGAATGTGTTTCTGGTAGATTTTCTGAGACAGTCAAAACTTTTGCTTGGCCAGACCACACCACACAATTAAGCCTGAGTCTCAGTCTCTATTTAGAAGAATCTCTGCCTTGAATTAGCAAATACCCACTGCATATCTGTAATAAAAAGTTCTGAGCTTTGCTGTAGAGAAATGAAAATATTTTATGTGAGATTCTAGCTGGTGCTTCTAGGAGTTGCATTCTCAAAATCTAAACAGTTAAATGTTTTGAAAATATATTGCCTCACTCACATGTGTCTTTGCCAGGTTCCAGAAAAAAAAAGGAAGTTCTTAATGGAGTGTTTTATTCTGTAGCTCTGTAACAAGAGTTTTCATTTACACTCCCAGATAGCATGGCTGTTTCCCTCTGGAAATAAACCTTTCACAACAGGAACACTATCCACTGCTAGCATGTTCTGTTCTCCCAGAAACACCCTTACGCTCCCAGGAAACACATGCCAGGCTGCGCACGCACCGCAATCCCACTGTAATAGGAATCTGAGGATTGTGCTGGAGACTTTATGATAGCTTTATATGAATCAAAAAGTGGAAACAGTCTCCGAAATCAATCTGAAATTGAAACATAATTAAGAAAAAAATTCATTTTTCTCTCCATTTTCTAGTCTCTTTATGCTGTAAGTTTTGGTAAAGACAGAGCATTTAGAAGCTTTGGTGCAGCTGGATGAGGTGCTGAAAGCAATTCAAATTATGAGACGAGGCATTAGAGGAACATTTCTGCTACACCAAGCCAGCTGGGTCGCTGGCAGTGTTGTCAGCTCTGGTCTCACATCTCTCTGCACAGAGGGGAGCTGGAATTCACTTCTCCCAGAGTATTTCTTCCAGCTTGTTTGAAACTGGAAAGCATCACTGCAGTAACTTACCCATAGGTTCATATGAATAGTCAGAATAGAATAATTGTATGTAGCCCTGGGGAAATGAAAAATTTTAAATGGTATATCAGAAATCAGAGTTAGTTCTACACCAAGCACATGTCCCAGATGTTATTCTGCAGCCTAGTGTTTGTAGGATCCTCTGTTACCTGTGTTCATATTTTCCCTATTAAAATGCTACCTTGCAAAGAAACCAACACGTAAGAAACTTCCTTGGTCTTCCCCTGGTTTGGTTTTATCACAATTTCATAAAATGAAGCCCACCATTTATCAGAATATCATCATCCTCCACAGTTGCTTAAACACACAGCTAATTCTAAAGTTCAGGTAATTGTCTTTTTTTCAGGTCACTTACTGCAGGAGGAGGCGGAGGAAGGGCTGGTGGCAAAGGAGCTTCATCCTCTACTGGAGAGCTGACCTCAGGTGTGGGAGTGGGCGACGGTTCGACAGCAGGAACTATGGCCACGTTGTTGTTGTCGTCTTCAGTTGTCTCAGACGTTTGGTTCGTGGTTTCAGTGCTTATGAGCTCCTCGGTGGCAGGAGAAGGTAACTCGTTATCGTTGGCATCTGAGGACGGCGGCGGCTCATCTGGAAGAGGGACTGTAGGTTGCACCGAAATGGGTTCCTCGATATTGCCGTTGGTACTGGCGTTACCGTTATCAACATCTGCTAAGATGCCTATGAAGTCCTGGGGGCTGCTTGGCTGGTAAAAAGGAGCACTTTCAATGCCTCCAGCAAGGGTATTAAAGCGCTGGTACAGTAACTTTTGTATATTTGGTCCACTTGGGCCTTCTGGTTCAGTGATAGAGCTACGCTTCTTTAATGGCCTGGGGGCATTGGCCAGTTTTCTTCTCAGAGCTTCCAGGTCGGCATCGCTTTGATATCGTAGGGGTGAATGTACAATAGGGGTAAGCTTTGTAGGACTGAGGGGACGAGGAATGTTTTCCACATTGCTGTTTTCACTGGATGGTGGAACGTTCTCCAGCTCTTGGTCTTTTTCAGAGAGCTCAGTCTGAGGCTGTGAAGAAGTCTGGGCAGGCAAGGAACCGTGAAGGAATGGCAGTGGTGAGGGGGAAGTTGAGCCAGACTGTAACACAGGTTTTCCGTAAACTAAAGAAAAGAAAGAAGGAAAACAGTGAAGAACAGTTCTGAAATTAGTCAATGCAAATATTTGCAAATAAACTGCATTTGTCTCCATTCAGAAAGAATATGGAAAAAAAATTAAATGAATTATGTTGGAATCCATCAAAACAGGAATAACCACTCATCCGTTATTGACAGCAATGCTTCTTACGATTCTAAATGGCAATAAGTAATGCCTGGAATGTTTTTCTTCTTTCAGTGGGAAAGGGGAAGAGCAAAAAAATCTCTAGACAACTTTTTTCAATTTATTTCTGTAAGTGTAATGGAGAATATCCAGATTATATAGTCTATTGTACTAAGAGCATCTTGTTTTAAATAAAAGGTAACTGAATATATGCTTGTTTATCACACAAAAAAATAAATGGGATCATTGGATGCAGTCCTGTGCCACGTACTCTAGGTGACCCTGCGTGTGCAGGGGTGACCTCTAGAGGTCCCTTCCAACCTTAAGCATTCTATGATTCTACTGCTATGTGGCATATATAAAAATATCTTTCTTCTTCTCATCAATTTACCTGAGATTTTTCAAACGATGAGTAACAGTGAAATTCAATAAAGCCTAACAGAAACAGTCTATTACAAAGGGGGGAAAAAAGCACAATATACTCTACCTGCTTTTACTGACTTATTTAATGTATTGTATACAGCTTGTTGATAATTCTTTGGTGGCGTTGCTTGCTGAAGATACATGGAGTAGATGGAGCTGGAGTTCACGGTCTGTGGCCCTTTCCTGGGCGACTGAGGTCTCGACCCTTTATCCGCCAGGAACGGCCTGATGGCCACGGTGAGCGGGAGCTCCGGCCGCCCGTCCGCGCCGGGGAACAGGGGCGGCCCCGCGGGCTGGTACGTGGGGCTGGGAGGCACCGAAATTCTCTGCTGAATCTGCTGTGAGGAGCTGGGCTGGTGGATGCTGCTGGGCGGCGGGAGGGGAACGGGCCGGGGCCGGCTGGCGACGCTGGAGCCGGGCCTGGGCAGGCTGCCGTCCTTCCTGCGCTCCAGGGAGTTGGTGGAACCTGCGCCCAAGGGAACGGGGCTGGGGTAGGTCCCGTAGTTTTGAGGCATCTGTTTGCTGACACCAGGAGCTGTCGGTGGCACCTTCCCCAAATCAAGACCCTGTATAAGAAAAATAAAATTATTTCAGTAAATAAGTACTAGTGAGCAAGAAGATTTCACACTGAACAAAGCAAACCAATAATCTGATGTGAGAGTGAAGCAGTTAGTATATAAAATTTGTGTTCCTTAATCACTAGACACGACTCTACCTGAATTTATCACAAGGCACCATCATATGCCATACAAAGAGGCCAGTGTGTTAAGGCATCTTCATTTATTCATTAATATCAATCAAAAAATATTTGCATACTTTCTAAACTTGAATGACTAGTTCTAGCTTCTGGATCTCAGTGCCTGTTTGATAATATATTTGATAAATATATTGCCTGGTAACAGTGACAGCTTACCAAACAATTTAATGACAAGGTCCTTATTTGTTAAAGATAACAGTCTTAAGGAATTCATAAAGTACAAGAACAACAATGCAGACAAACAACATGGATGGGCTCTCTGAAGGATGGTTCTAATGACTTTTTTTTAAGGATTTTTGTGAGAAAAAGAGAACATACTGAAAGAGTGATAATCTATGCCAAGTAAAATAGCAACATAAAGATCTGAAATAGAAAAATAGGAGGGTGGGAAGATGACTAGAAGCAAAGAGAGGAACACAGGAGACTGCTGTAACAGAATGGGAATGCAGACAAACCACTAAAGTTGGGGAAAAGAAATTCTAATGTCATAAGAGCAAACAAAAAAAGCAAGACTATAAAGGTAATTTTATTTGTGATGCTGAACTAACAGCAGGAAAATGAAATGTACAAATATCTAAAGAGAGTTTGGCTACAGAAGCCAAAGGTTAACAATTTCAGTAAACTAGTTTTAAAAATACACCACAGAGGAAACGCACCAGCTTGTCGGTACTTCCTAACACTGAAGTTGGCAGCGGCTGGCTGGATATAGTTCCCTGCTTTAGAGCAGTATCCATGCTTGACTCTTTCCAGTCTGTGCTGGAGATCTGAGGGGGCTTTACCACAGGAGCTGAACTCTGCTTAAGTATTGGCCAGTTTCCGTCATTCACTTGAAAACAGAAGAACATGATATTTAATATAATGCATGTCACCATCGTAAACAAACAAAGTTACATATGAAGTGCAATAGTTTAGGTTAGAACAGGATGAATCTGATTCCAGAAATGAGATAAATTCTTACTCATGTCTGAATCAGAAATTGATACTGAAAGGTAAATCACTGTATATAATATACTGTTCATTAGCCTTTGCTATTCAGACTGTATTAAAAATTATCTAAAGAAAAAAATGGTTACAGTTTTGGAGTGAGGGTTGAGAACTGCACATTCTGCTGGTAAAAGGCAAACTTAAAATTAGGTTCTGAAAAAAGGCCTTATAGAAACATTCAAAGTAACATATTTCTTCAGCTACCATCCAGAAACAGTGTCAAAATATGCTAAATGTTAAATTGATGTAAGCTTTATATAAGTTCCAATTAGACTTATTCCAAATTTAAACTAGATTCATTGAATTGAATCAGGAATTCATCTGAACAATGTGGTGAAACAAACAAACAAAAAAAAACCATTTCTTTGCTATAAGTGGCTTTTAACTCACCGTTTGTTTTTCTTCAACGTACCAACCTGATCAGCATTGCCTCAGATGTTTAATTTTACAGAAATGCATAAAGTCAGATGACAACTTCAAGTCACAACATCATGATAGAAGTCATGGGCTTTTATCCTCATCACATGCAAAAAATATCATGCATAGCTGCACGTAAACTGAGGCACCAAACCCTTAATGAACTCCTAGATGCTTTGATATGTTCCTTTATTAACTGGAGGAGACTGTTTACTTTCTATTTCTAATTAGGCAGTTTAAAAGGCCTGATAATTACAACTGTTTTATATTAACTTGATAGATCCTTGGCTAGATCCAAGGGCTTTGATCTAACTTTAGAAGATTAAACTTCAGGTTTCTCCCACTCCAGGAAGGCCAGAGGTGGTTCCTCCTTCCTTGCTGCCTTGTAATGATCTTAGTGGAGCATTTAAGCTTGATATAGATGGCAGGTAACAGATAACTAGACGTACTAGAGGAGGACAAAATGAATCGTACTGTGGGGAAAAAGGCAGACTTACTGAGATTTCTAGACCCCATTCTCTAGAGGCATAAGATGATCCAAAAAAAAAATTCCTGAAAAAAGTTTCTAATTTTATTTCAGTTTTAAATCCCTTAGAAAATAGGATCAGCAAGACTATTTCTAGAATTCTTTGCATTCAATGTCTACTACAAAAGCTAATCTAAAAATAAGCTGCATAGGAATATGCTACTTACAGTAAATTTAACATCATCACTCTACTTTCCTTCCAAAAGCTGTATTGTCTTCTACAGAATGTACCTTTTCTTCCCCAGATGTGACAACCTGAAGATTTCTTCCCAATTAATGTTTTCAACATGAGCATGAATTCAGACTAAGAGCACATAGGCTTATTTATAAGCTTATTTTCAAGCGAGCAAAACCCACAAGGTTATACCTCTGCATATGATCTTCTATACTCATTATTTTTGAAATACACACATGCACACCAGTCATTACCACAATACTGTTTTAACCTTTAATTTCAGATCAACTGTGTTTGAATTCTGAGACACAAAATTTTGGAGCAAGAATATTTTGCTGAAATTGGTCACTGAAATAGGGTTAACACTTCTGTATGTTTACACTGAGAACATAACAAGCAGTCCAGAAATCATCTTTCATACATGTACTCTGCCAAGAAAGTGATTCAAGGAGGACGGGCTTCATACTGGTAAGATCCAAGAACTAAACACCTTGGGTTTTTTTTTGTTGTTGCTGTTTTGAAAGAGATGAATGTGTAAATACTTCGGCCCTAAATTATAGCAAGTTTTTCAAATATACATAGAATTAGTATTTACTGTACAAAATACACATGACATTCCATAACTCTAGTGAGGTTCAGCAAAACTTCTATTTTAAAGATCAATACAAGCTGTTGCAACTGACTCGTGCAAAACATGAAGCATCTTTACTCATAAGCTTAGCTGTGAAGAAAGCACCTAGAAACCATAGCAAAAATGCTAAAATACTTAATTCTCTTACCTGCCTAAGTAACCACCCAGGTTAGAAAGACAGGTAAACAAAAAAAAATTGTAATCCTCAGAGTTCCAAATATTAGCACCGTCATCCCTGGCTTCTGAGGTAGCATGTTGGAAATAAATTCAGACTTGCTCTCCCCTGTCTGCGTTCTCCATTTCATCCTTGTTCTGTGAACACCAGGATCCAGCTCTTCCCATCTCCCCTTCCTCCCTGCTGCAGCCGGGCAGCCCTGCCAACGCCGGGCGCTGCGTGGACACACGTTTCCTCACTCCCACAGCCCAGGCTGAGCCCCGGGCACTCAGATAAGCTGCTCTTGCCACCTGCAGCTGCAGCACACGGTGCCAGAAGCTGGCGCGGTGGATGCTGAGAGGAGGCAACCAAACAGCTCCTGCCTTGTGCTGTCTTTTGGTAGACTGAACAGCTCCCAGACACTCGTATCTAATGGCCAACACCCTTGGGACAAGCCCTAACGAGCTCCTACCCTCAGTCCTCCCATAACCATTTCATGCACCTGGCCTCATTTGCTCCTGCAGATGCACCCGCTTCCCATTTGCAAGAGTACCTAGCAGTGAGCATAGCTCATCCCTCATCAATCCGTTTGGCACGTACATGAACAAGTTTCCTGTATTTTTTCTGATTTCACCTAAACATTTTTGTAAATCTGGATCCCAGGCAGTTACTCTAGCAACTGAAGTGCAAACCAGGTATAACATTTTGGTACTACTAAAAGCCAACGAGATTCTTGCTACTGACTTGGCGAAAGTCGATTTTTACCCCAAATCTGGGGCCAAAGTATCATGAAAACTCTGCAAACTCTTACTCAGAATAACTCGAACTAAATCTATGTATTCATTTAACCTGAAATATCCTAAAAGATACTTTGAAGATTAGCACAAAATTTCTAGTAATTCCCTTTTCAAACTTTTTCAATGAAGAAAACTCATTCCTAGGGTAGTTCTAATGCAGTACTCCAGGGATGAATTTGCTGCAAATCAGTTTCCTTCAAAGGAGAAGAGCAACTCCTCAAACAAATTCACATTTCAGCAGCATCTACTGCTTAGCACAACACAGCACAAGTTCTAAAGCTGCTGTTTAACATGCATCTGTTGGCAAGAGCTCAGATGACCATATTAAAAACAGAGCCCTTAGGTAGTCAGAAGATCTTCTACAGACTCACAGTGCTGGGTGTCAAAGACAGCAGGTGCCAGGTGGATGTCATTGTGACCAGCAGACTGCAGAGAAGTGGGAGGTGACAGAATAGGATCCAATATTATGTCTAAACCAGAAACCTTACAGGTGTCTGCAGATTTTTTCACACACCCACAACCTGTCTCTACTGCACACACCAAGGCACATCCAGTTACACAGAAAAAGAAAGAAAGAAGTGGTGGAAAAATTGTAACAATGACAATGGAGAAATTAGAACAGGCGAACTCAAATAATGTGAAATAAAAGCATGACAGTGAAAAAAAAATCCCTATTTTTTTCTTTTCCTGAAATAAATTGACCAGACAGATAAGTTTACTAGAATAAGAACTCAAGGAACAAACAGCGTGATTTGCCTCCTTCAGTTTCCAGTGTGAGTAAAAATGAGTGAATACTCTTTTTTCAATATAGACGGAATTATTAACTACGGCAGACATGGAGCAAACTCCAGATAGCAAGGTATGGGCAACAATCTGAAGGGACTCTTTTTCTAATGAAGACAGAAAGAGTTAAACAGCAGCAACACTTCAGAAATGCTTCAAAATAGTCTCTACTGGAAGCACTAATTGCCCTATCTAAGCTGGAGTCTCCTTCTGAGAAGTGATACTCTTTTTGTTAGTGCAATAGCTTTGTTTTACTTAAGAAAAGGAAACATACTGTAAGCAGTTGTTTATAACAGGTTGCCACAAAGTTGATTTCATTATTACACAGAAACACTCAAGACAGAACATGAAATCTGTGAATAAACATGTGCTCCTTTTTAGTGGTGTAGCAGCTAGAGAAATTGCAAAGCCAATATTCTCAGTTTCCTAAGAAAAAATCATAAAGAGAGGCAAAAATGCTTCTCATCAAGTGACTAATGTTCAACTCACAGAACAGTATCAACATAACTAAAACTTGTCTCTAGTACAGAGATTATCCTGACACAGAATGATCTTTTCCATATTACTCTTTTCCAAGCAATGTATATTAGTAAACACTGCACTTAAATGCTTACCAGATTTTGATCTTCCATGTGTTGAGCTGGATGCAATGGTGAGAGATTGGGGCTTAACTGGATCTACTGGTACAGCATAAGTGCCAGCACTTGGAACTTGGATGTAAGGGCCCACGGCTGCAACTCTTCCTGAAGCACTCAAGGATGACTGGGGTGATGAAGTTCCGTTAATGCGGTTTAACTAAAAATACACAAATCAACACATGTGAATTTCCATGCAATCTACACATCCGTTAATCAAAAACAGAAAGTTTAACTACCTAGAACCATGCAGTGTAGTTAAGTTACTGTAATAAGTAATGACTGTACTCCATGCTTCTGCAAAAGCATGAAGTAGAAAGACAAATTGAAATCCCTACAATAAACAACCATAAGTTAAAGTTCTCAGCCACGGTACATGTGTCATGATGAAAACCTTTTTTATGTGAAATGTATCTATTCATTGCCTCTTCTTAGGCAAGGGGGTTAAAATGAATTCTTAAATGATCAAACAGATATTTTGTTTGTTTGCTTTTTCTGAAGTATGATCTCCAGCTGGGAATATGTATGGGAATCCACAACTGCGCTCTCTAGTTCTCAGATGAACAGTCTTCTGTGCAACTATTTTCTATTTAATGTCACAGCTATTATAACTGACTTCATCAGAACATTTACTTTTTTTTTTTTTGTATCTTCTTTTTTTCCTCCAGGAATGGAAGTTAAAACGTTCACCTTGCAAGATCAGTATTTTTCAAATAATCAAAATGTAATACATGCTCTGAAGCACCAGTCTGTTTCCTTCCTACAAACATAAACTGCTATAAATCATAATACAGTATTGGGTGCACTATAAAGAAAAGTAAAAAGAAGGGCATTTTGTTTAAGATTTTTCTGGCATCTAACAAAAATCTTAAAATCGTTTTAAAAGGGTCTGCTATTAAATTAGGTTCTTTAGGTGAAGTTGTAATACTCAGCTGGAGAAAAGTGACACTTTACGTAGTTTTATTATAGGCTCTTGAAAAACTAAAGTGTGGCCCTTTTAACAGTTTATCTTACAGGAATGTTTTCTTTTTGACGTGCCTCAACTTTTTTCTTGTACAGTCGTTCACGCAGCTCATTGATTCGCTTGTCCATCATGGCCACCTCCATATTACGCTTGTTTAAGAGTTCTTTCTGCTGCTGAAGCTTCGAGTTCTGCTCCTGGTTAAGCCTGTTACGAATCTTAAAACAATGCAGTTGTTATGATAGTTGCTTCCTTTTGCCTACTGTCCAATTTAATTTTAAGATAGCGTTAAAATAAATAATGAAGTGTTAATAAAGTGTTAGAAAAATGAGCAAAGTAGACCAGTCTGAGTCTCATTCTGTAGTTTGACATAACCAGTCAAATTAACATTTTAAATCAAGAACTCTTAAAAACAGTGAAAGAAACTTAAGTCCTAAGACGTGACTTGACCCTCGCTCTCATTTATGTTATTTATGTGCAATTCAATACAGAGCGACTGATCTGAAGCATCTAGGCATAAGTGTATTTCATGGAGGAGCTCCAACAGCTAACAGTGTTCTCTTTCATAACAAGGACTTTGACTGTGACCTTAAGCACTAACAACTTTCTAACAAATATACTTTATGGGATGTCCCAGAATCAACTGCCCTAAAATCATGAGCACAGTAATATTAACTTTTGTTAATCTACAGATATTTTCAATAGCATCTCTCATTTACTTACCTGCAGCTCTTGATATAATTTTTTTAATTCTACTGCTGCAGGTCCTGTCATCTGTCCATTATAGGACTGAAACCCATTCAGCTTTCCTTTTCTTAAGTCCTCCAGTTGCTGAGTAAGTTGATCTACTTTTAACACTGCAGCCTGTAGCTCCTGCTGCTTTTCCTGGAACATGGCACTGATATGCTCAATTTCAGTTGCTATGATTATCAAAATAAAAATAAGAAAAAAAAACAATTAGGTAAAGTACAAGAACAGTATATTTTCTAACGCTTTGTTTCTAGAAGCATCAAACTAAAACAGAATAATTTTACATCTAGCATATACACAGAGCATGTAAAACATACAAAACCATAACATGCTGGTTACCATTACAGAATATACTCCTATTTGCTAGTCACGCACTGAATAGTAAATTAAATTGTATAAATTACTTAAAAATTCCACATACACAGATTGCCATTCATGATCTTGCTGTAATCTACTTGTCCTCTCATGGCACGGATTTTTTTCAGCTTTGTCTCCTGGGTTTCAACTCGTTCTTTAAGTTTTTGAAGCTTTTCACTCTCAGAAACAGACTGCTGCTGACGACGCTCCTGCTGCTTCAGATAACGCAAACGTTGTTCCTGGTAAAACAAGGTTTTTAGACAAAAGGTACCTGTTACTCTTTTAATTAAAAGCAAATTCAAATTATAGAAGTCCATAACTGCCATTACTTAATTTTCTTTTCAGAAATCAGAAAAGGTTTTACCTAGTCTGAATATCTATCTATTCTCCTGGAGAAACTCTTTTCATTAATTTACACATAAAAAAAAATCTGTTTAAGAGTAGAGAAATTCAAAAGTTTCAGACCAGCTATAACATCTACATATATATGCACACACATTCTTGGTTTGAACATATCTGAGAAGCTTCCTCCAGCATTTGTTTTCTGCTGCTAGTAACACCTTCCCAGTAATTGCAAAGTGTGCTTCCAATGCTGGTATCCAGCAAAGACAAAATTCCCGAAAAGACAAAATATGCCCAGCAGACTGCTTTAGGCAAGCTGATCTACTACATGGTGTTATTCCAGTTTAAAATAAAAGCCCATCTGCCAGGCACGCAGGAGATGCCTCTTTCTTGTATATAATTTTCATCAAAACAGAGCAACAGAATTGCTAGACTGATTTTTTTAAAAAAGATACTGTGGTGAGCTCCAAGCATCCAGTGCATGCTCTATTTTATAACACCTACAACAATGTTAGAAACACCAACTCCGATCCCAGCTCTGAAAGTTTACCTGGATTCTTACATCTCAAAGACTGTGGAAATGCAATGTATAAATACATTCAACATGAGCATATTCTCACTCCGCTGCTATTCTATTGAAGTGAATAAAGTACTAGGTATGGCCATAGAATTAAGCCTGGTCCATCACAGATTATGAAATGAGCCTCACAAAAGAAGCAAATTAAATCTAGCAATATTTTTATAAAGACACAATTGTTGGCTTGACAAACATTATTATAACATTATTTAAAATGAAGTGTTTCATATGGCCTATCTAAAGATCAACTTGTTAAACCAATGGATTTCTCTTTCTTTAGATAGTCTGGAATTAATTGGTACATTTTTTGTTGCAATAAAATATAGGTTTGCATATGTTGAAGGAAAACTATATTTATTAAGATCTCGTTTGCTGCTAACATTATTACCTTGGCAACCAACATTTGCTGTTGATTTTCAATCTGCTGCTGTTGTCGGGCAGCCATATCCTGAAGTTCAGAAAGAGTGAGCTCAACTCGAGGATTTCCAACCTGCAGATCACAAAACATTACATTAATGGGATTATTCAATAGTCTGATCTGAGGAGCTAAAAACATGTAGTCTTTAACAAGTTTCATATTAAGCAATCCTACTCAGATTTAATAACGCTCTACCTTTGAGCCACACCTCTCATGCAACATTAAAGACGTTACAAGCACCACAACTCAGATTTTCTGAAATATCAGTTCAGAATTACACAATCCAGGGATTACCTACTCTTTCAATAATAATGTGAGCACAGAGAAGATGAGGAATTTTAGACTGATTAAACAAAAAATTATTACTAGAGGATACACACAAAACTCAAAAGACCACATGCAGAACTCAAAGATTTCTGATGTTTTTATAGTCTCGTTGGACTTCAGGCTACAAGCATCTTATCTGTTGAACGAGAAACCTCTGACTGCCACTTAGTTCTCCTTACGCCAAACAATCTACTCAAGCTACTGTTTATATTCTCTAAAGTCAAAAGCTTTTTCCATAGGCCCTTACCTCCCACTCCCACTCTTTTCATACTGCTGTCCCTTTTGCTATGCCAGTTCTGTGTCTGCAAGGCTGAACGCCAAAAATAGGGGCAACTCTTGAATTCTACAAGCTTGTTGAAACCTCATCCCCAAACCAAAGTTACAAAAAACTCTTTAAAAGAGGAGAGCAGAAAACATTTCATGTCTCTCTACTTCACTGATCTAGATTATAGTTCCAATCCCCCAACCAGTTGCCTCAGATCAGGAAGGATGGCAAAACTACAACTCTGAAACAAGAACACCTGACCTATGTGTAACAGAACCACCACCTCCTAACTGACTTTGGGTCTGGAAACAATGTATTCAGAACTACATTTTAGGAAGTGTTTTAACCTTGTCCTCTGAGTCAACTGATGTTTTTTATCCACTGCAGCTAGATAAGCTGAAGAACTATTTTGGCAGCTAGGTACACCAAAATTGACTGACAGAAACTTCTTGAAAATAAAGAGGAAGCTTGTGCCATTCCAAGCAGCTCTGCGTGATCAGCAAGGCTTGCCTATCACCACGACAAAAGTGGCCAAGGAATAAATGTTTCTACCAAAGTGATCTAACCCTGTAAGCGTCTCCACTTTCAACGTAGATTCAGATGAACGCAGGTAGCGCAAGGCCTGTAGTGCTGAATAGGGTACGTAAAGAATTTGTGCAAAGGGGAATACTGGCTTTTCCTCCAAGGAAGAAAAAACTCCATCATCCTTTTAAGAATGCATGGAAATGACCAAAACCACATAGCTGTTGTGGACACAGATGGAACTTAGGGTACTGTCATTTGGCATTTGTTACTGTGCTATATGCCCACCAGGTTGCCAGGGACACAAGCTCACGACATTTAAAAACTATAACTATTTAAGACCTTGCCAGGGACACAAGCTCAGCAGACAGATTTGCTTCTGCAGGTGAAAAACAACATTTAAAAACTATAACTATTTAAGACTATAATAGCTATAAGTTACAAATTAGCACAGTATATCATACCCAAGGGGCAATAAAAACAGGGTATGAAATATTCATGCATATGACCATTACATAAAGATGCCAGCATGCATCATGTTGCCAATCTATCTGACAGATCAAGAGGGGCATCCAAGATGTTGGATAAAGGGAGTTCTCCAGCAGCTTCTGCACTAGAGAACACCTAGACCAGTGCTTTGACAGGTCTTGGTTTACAAAGTGGAGATTTGATTTTATAGATGGATCGATCTATCTCGATGTCAGCTCTATTGCAAGAGCAAGCTCGATCCATCTATCTCAATGATGTCAGCTCTATTGCAAGAGCAAGCTTTGGAGAAACCTAACAGATCACGGAAATAAAGAGTATTAGATGAAAACTTAACACTGGGAAAGCAGAGCTCTGCTGGAGTAATGAAGAAAGCACCTGCAGAGGTCCTTCACACACCAAGAATTCGTAACGAAAAAAAATAACATGAATAAAAGAATTTAAGTGCATTGAACTACAGCTCTCCATCTGTTCGTGTCAACGTTCATAAGAGTGGTACATTATTAATTATGTTGAAGCCCTTCAACCACGGGGGCAGCTGATGTGGCCTCAGAAAAATTTCTCACAATTTTTCCCTTCTTCCTTCTCTAGTAGTGCAAGTTACGTGTGTTCCAATCAGGCAACCATGGGTGAATGCTTCCCTTTCCAGGGAGACACAGAGGTCCTGGGGAAGATCATCCATGCAGTCTAAGCACCTGACCTAATGACTCTCTTAAAGCCTAAAGCATTCTGCTTTCATGACAATGACTACACATTAAAGCAAGGTGAAGCTTTAGGTGTAACAACTAAGGGTATAGCTTAAAAACAGGAGGAACACGCAGAAGACCAATTTTGCTGCAGCTAATAAGAAGAAAACGAGGAGCATTTGGGATGCCTCACCTCAGGGCTTGCTACGATCCACGGCCTGTGTGTGCAGCTTCAGGGGAAGCTCTTCAAGGGATTGGGTTAGAAACTCTTAAGAGATTTACACAGCCTATGTAGGGCTGGGATATATGAACACAGAGACTAGAGACAAATAGTGAAAGCAAAAGTACAGACAAAAACAGGGGAGGGGCAACTATAGAAGAGACAAAACAGAGATGCAGACAAAGCCCCAAATCTGGCACAATTCCAACTTTTCGATTAATATTTAATTCTTTTATTATTGTTGCATTGGGACAGTAAATAACCCATTTCTGGCTCGAATACAGACTTTTCACCTTTCATATAAACAGAATTAGATAAATACAGCATGCATATGAAAGACTGCTTTGCACAGTTAAAAAGGGACAAATTCAGTTCTGAGCCTTGAAAAGAGAGATGAGAGAGAATCCCGTTCTTAAACTTAATAAACATTAGAAATAACAATGACTATTTGCCATTAAAGTTAAAACAGATTTTTAAAAATAAGTTACTATTGTTTAACACTTTTAATTCAATATTTAGGAGAAATTAGTGGGGGTTATCACTTCCTTTGTATTTAAAAAAATAATGAATCTGCAAAATCATATTAGGTAAATCTGAAAAATGACTACGATTTTCTATTTATACACTGCTGCGATAACATACAAAAACCAAATACCAGACTTTTTTTTTTTTTTTTTAAAGAATGCATATTCATAGTTAGCAGGTAATTCAAAACTTCAAAACTACACATTCTATTATTACTAATACTCTGTGCTAAGAAAAGAGTCACAGTATAACAAGACAGATTTCAAAAGCTAATACCAAGTATCTCTTGGTATTCAGGTAAGAAAAAAATAAAAGGATAACTCTGGAGCCTTGGAATTGCACTTTGAAAGAATGCCAACTTCTGAAAAAAAAAAAAATCCAAACAAGTCAGAAAGTTCAAAACAGAATAATGTCTGCCAGATATTTACTTGTAATGGATTGGATCAGAACAAAAGCTGGACAACTGCATTGTAGTAACTCAATAAACAAAGCGGCATTTTCACAAGCCATGAGACTACATGGTAACTAAGCTAAGTAAAAGGTACAGCATTTTCTATCCATGCTACAGCCAATATTGCTGAAAAATAAAGAGAATTAAGTATTGTTTATCTATCAAAAGTTATATTTAAAGCGGTTTTAAACGTTTATGAAAGAATATAGTGAAAGTGTTTTACACACTGTACAAGAAGAATCCAACCCACCAGATGAAGCTGAATCAAGCATCGCAAAACCCAGAGCAAGGAAGAAAGGGGACTTAGCTCCTCTATTTGTATGGGTCTAGTCTGACAATAAGGTTCCCTGCAAGCACTTAGCAAGGTCCCACTTTGTTCTCAGTGAACATGGCAATTGCAAAAGGAAAAAGATTGAACTTATTGGTTTTTTTTTTTTTTTTTTTTTTAAAGTATGACTTGAGACAGATGGACTTCACAACAGTCTAAGTCCAAATAACCTATGTGCAATTCTGACCACTGGCTATTAAGTGGGAAAGAGACAGTTTATTATTAATCTCAGACTTAAAGCTCAAATTGGGTAAGAAAATAAGGAAGTTTTTCCAGGTGCCATCCACAAGTCAAAGATGCTGACTTCAGCCAAGAAAACAACAGCCAGACCAGATGCTGCTTTTAGAACAGGTTTGTGCTCTGATGACTACTTCGGCCATGAGCTTTCACCAGAAGAACTTAGATCTCTGCATCTGGATCTGCTGGACTCTGTAGCTTTGTCTCAAAGGGGCTTCAGGGCTTCCTCTGGATCACTGATTTCACAAGTCAAAACTGGGGAGGGAAGGTGGTACCTTCCCAAAACCTGTAAGCTCTGTTTCAAAAATAGGCACAGCTTGCACGAGACTATGCAAGAATCACTGGTGTTCCCTCCTTTTCTGCTTTGATCATCAGTTAAGGCTAAGAACATTGACAATTCATCCTATTACTACTAGTATTTTTCAAAATAACACAGTCTGAGAAACAGAAAAACATTAGATCCTGATAGGAAGTCTTGTTTAAAAATATATAGAAACAACCACCTTGCCAAGTAAAAATAACAGATTTTCTAAAACCAAAATGAAACAGAGTGCACAAGGTCAGTAAAAATGGGCATGTAAAAGTACCAGAAAAAAAAATGATTCAAGAGTTCTGTACTAGCACTGCTTTAAATAAGCATATTTGAAAGCATAATTTATAATGCCTTAAAAAAACCTATGCTATTACTGTATGCAAAATAATGCAAATATTAGCGCATAAAACTACTAAAATATTTCATTTAGGAAGTGCAATGCTTTAAAAGATTAATACAGGCCAAACCAAATAAGCACAGGAAATGGTGATAATTAACAATTAAAATACAAAGTCCTATGAGAAATCATTTTAACGTTTACATTAGTAAATACCAGTAACTGCATCTTTCATGTAAAAGAGAGACAGCTGAGGAAAAAAAAAATTAAACCTTTAACTTCACTCGTGCTTGCTTCTTCTTCATCCACATGGCAAAAGCAGTGAACAAACCAAGCCAAATTCTTCCTCAACTCCAAGCCAGCTTGTTTCAGAAA